GCAGTTGCTGCTTCATCATAGTCAACCCTAGCTAAGAGATTCGTTACGATGTTACTGTGTGCCCTGGGTCATAAGCATCCCCTTTCCTATTGGCTAGGCATTCAGCACTTGATTCAAGCCCAAGGACTTGGTCAACCAATTCCCAAATCCCATCCGTAGGAGTTTATTTCCTAGGACTACTGCCAGGACGAATCTGTTATTAGTTAGAATTCAGTCAGGAGAAAGAACCTCAACATTAAATTGAATAGAGAAAACTGAATAAAAGGACCATGAACTAAAACATTGGAATATTGAAGAATTGCTAGTAAAAGTAAAGATGACCCTAAAAACATTGGATAGCTCAAAAAATGCTTATTAAAAATTGCAACACAGAATGGTATAAACACATTTGTGAACATCTAACTGAAATAATATATATAAAAGAAATCATAGGGTGCCTTCAGCTCAGGTCATGATCTCCAGGTCCTAGGACTGAGCCCCACATCTGACTCCCAGCTCAGCGGGGAGTCTGCTTCTCCCTCTCCATCTGCCTTTCCTCCTGCTTGTGTGCTCTCTTTTTCTCAAATGAATAAATGAAAAATCTTTTTTTAAAAAAATAATAGAAAAAGGGAAAAAATAAAATGGCAGCGTATTTGAGCAAAATCTTCATTGAAGGACATTTTTAATGGTCATTAGGCCTAGAAAATTATAGAACACTAGCCATTACGAAATTATAAGTTAAAACTACAGTGAGAAAGACTACAAATCCACTAGGATGAAACTGATTAAAAAGAAACACAATGCCAAGATTGGACTCAGCTTAACTCTCTCTCTTTCTCTCTCTCTCTTTTTTTTAGTAAGCTTACAACCCCAAATCAAGAGCCTCATGTTTTACTAGCTGAGTCATTCAGGCACTCCAGCTCAACTCTTGTTTCTTCTCAGACTTAAGCCTGTCCTGATAAAAATTATCTGATGTCTTACTTTTTTCACCCTGGACTGATATTTCCCCAGAGCTATTTCTGCCACTATCTTTGAGTAATTACATAACCATCATTAATAGTTCTGCAGTTTTGCATTTCACAACTTTTTTTTATGATATATCATCAATTCCTCATGCACAACAGTCCCAGCAATCACTTGAAGGAACAACAAGCTCTCTTCAGCACAGAGATGAGACAGTGGTGTTTAGATGACTCTTGTCCACACATTCTGCCCCCAAACGCTGTAGCCACTATCACATAACAAAGAATTTAGTAAGTTGTTCTCCGTTTGAGATAGATGTCAGATTTCTAAAGGATTTTAATATATCTTAAGATATGAAGAAATAGGGGCGCCTGGGTGGCTCAGTGGGTTAAAGCCTCTGCCTTCGGCTCAGGTCATGATCCCAGGTTCTTGGGATCGAGCCCCGCATCGGGCTCTCTGCTCAGCGGGGAGCCTGCTTCCTCCTCTCTCTCTGCCTGCCTCTCTGCCTACTTGCGACCTCTATCTGTCAAATAAATAAATAAAATCTTTTAAAAAATAAAAAAAAAAAAGATATGAAGAAATAATGAATAAGTAGTGTTGCTTTGTGATTTGGTCATGATCACGGAATATACAGGCGGGAAAGAGTTTCTCTTCCGGAACCAGATGCAGAGGTAACTCCTCATCCTCCCATTTCAGGGCGGCCTGAACATCAGTGTTTCTTCCAAGTCATGGCTCTGACCAAAGATTTACAAAATCGACTAACTCCTCTGATCACATGCATTTGATGAGCAAGAAAATATTTATTAATAATAGCTAAGAATGGATGCATTTTGAGTCTGAAAGAGACTATGTCCATTTAAATTTGTAGTATTGGGGGCGCCTGGGTGGCTCAGTGGTTAAAGCCTCTGCCTTCGGCTCAGGTCATGATCTCAGGGTCCTGGGATCTAGTCCCGCATCGGGCTCTCTGCTCAGCGGGGAGCCTGTCTCCTCCTCCTGTCTCTCTCTGCCTGCCTTTCTGCCTACTTGTGATCTGTCAAATAAATTAAAAAAAAATAATAAATCTAAATTTGTAGTATTGAGAATACTGAAATACTTTTGGCCTAAGGGACAAATCTGAGCTTCAGGGAGTCTGAAATGTCTCTAACAAGGATCAGTTGCAGATAACACTCTCCAGATGTCTGTGAACTGTCCCTTTAAGAAAGGACAGGGCGTCTGGGTGGCTCAGTCGTCCTTTGGGCTCAGGTTCTGCCCTGGGATTCAGGCCCACATCGGGCTCCCTGTTCCGCAGGAACCCTGCTTTTCCCTCTCCCACTCCCTCTGCTTGTGTTCCCTCTCTATGTCTCTCTCTCTGTCAAATAAATAAATAATCTTAAGGGGGAAAAAAGGGAATAAACAGCTTCTTTTCCCCGAAGGCTAGATGGCTCTTATTTCTCAGACACCCGTGGCGCCACAAAACCTTTGTTCGCGGAGGGTAAGGGCTTGGACACTCTAACCACCTGTGCGGCTGAGGAAACTACATTACCCAGGAGGCAATGTGCCTAACGGTGGCGGAGTTGACCCAGTAAAGCCCAGGACAGGAGCATTTCCGTGCGGACGCACCAGCTTAGGGCGGGACTTCCGGCGTCCTCTTCGTGGCGGGCATTTTGGCTTTTCCGCAGTCTGATCGCTCTGAGGCTTCGGAGCCCCCGACCCGTGAGTAAGACACGAAGGCGTTGTCCCCGCTACAAAGAGGCCGCTCTAAGGCTTGGAGACGGTGACCCGCAGCGGGCTGGGATCAAGATCTCCCTGCCCCACAGCCCTGCTCCGCCCGCCGAGTCCGATGGCGGCGGCCGCGCCCAGGGACCCGGCTCAGGTAAAATGTTTGCTCGTCCCCCGGGCCCTCTCCGCCGTCCCAACCCCAAAGGCCCGAGCGCTGGGCGCCCGCTCACGACCCTGCGGCCCAGGCCCCATTGCCCGGGACAGGGAGGCGCCGGTGGGCGGGGCCCCAGGGGTGAACGCCCGAGGACTCCGCGCGGGAGCGGGCTCCGAGCTGAGGGGACAGGTTAGTGCACGGGCTTAGAGGTGCGACTGACCCGGGAGCATTGGGCAGACCCAGGCTCTTGTGTCTACAGGCAGCAGAGAGTGTAAGGGGAAGTTGTGCTTCAGGAGTTTTCCTTCATTCTCAGAAGGCTGGAGCCAGGGAGACTTGGGAGCAAAAGAGGGACAGCGTCTGAAGTCGGGTTCTCCCACGTTCCCGCAGCTGCTCACTGGATGAGCAGGCGGGAAGAGGGGTGATAACAGTTGGCACAGGAAAGGTGCCTTCTGTAAAGATCACCGCACCAGCGAGAATGCGCGGAGGCCTGAAGCCCAGAAGGAATGCAGCCCTCTTGAGGTCACCAGGTGGTAGGCTGGGCTAGGTGATCCCAGGCATAGCACGTAGAAGAATGTGCAAAGGCTTGGAGGACTCAGGGACCTGCAGGTGTCCATTCTTTTCCATGGGAACTGGGAGGAGTGAGGCAGGAGTCAGGTCTGGACACCCCGGTGTTGGGTGTTCTGGGAGGTTTGGAGGAGTAAAGGCATGTAACTTGACTCAGGTCTCATCCGGCTCCCTGGGGCTGCAGCATCATGAGGAGTAGAGGTGTGAAATTGGTGGTAGAAAGAGAAGGGAGGAGGCTACTGCAGTAGTTTGGGCAACTGTGATGGTGGCTGGAGCAGGGTGGTGGCCATGGAGAAATGGCTGGATCAGTGTTAGTGTTCTACGTGTGGCTTTCTGGGTTTTCTAATTTTGAGGTAGAGAGACGTGGGGGATAACTTGAGGGCTTGGCTTTGGCAGATGGAAGGATGGAAGCTCCATCAGTTGAGATGGGGAAGTTCATAGAGTAATTTTCATTGGGGATATCAGAAGATTTCTTTCTGGTCCGTTAGGAGTAGATGTTCAGAGAACAGTTTGTGCGCCTCTGGAACTCCGAGGAGGAGTTTGGGATGTAGACTTCTCCAAAAGGTGGAGAATATGTGGACCAGGGAGCAGCTGTAGATATGGGGCATCTTAGTCAGGATAATGGTCATAGTAGTCCAGGAAGAAGAGGGTGGGTCTGAGAACTAGGTTTCCTGCTTGGCTCCCTGGCCGTGGGGGTGGATGTCAGAACACGGATCAGGGAGAGAAGTGATCATAGAGAAGGAGGGGAGAGTGTATGGTTTGGTATGGTTTGGTATGTGGCCATGAGCTCCAGGGGACAAGTGGACAGGAGATGGGTGTGGAGGTATAGGAGTAATTCAAACAACATGACGCTGAGATGGGGGCTGGTGCTTGTGCTCTGTTCTGCAGACTTACCAGGATTTCACTGTGTCCTTTGGTGGGGCCCAAGTATTCAGGTGAGGCTGGTGCATTAGCTTGGGGTACAAGTCATTTATGAGACTGACTGGAGGTGCGGTGCGAGGCCAGTGGAGCTGAGTGTTGGATGAGGTTAGGTGGAGAGAGGACAGTGTGACTGGAGAGCACATCAAGTGCATGTGTCACACAGGTGGAGGAGAGCTGTGGGTATCTGAAATCTGGTTATTATTCTTGGTAGTGAGGCTAAAGCAAGAACAGGGAGGGAGGCTTTCCTAGTAGCACTCAAGGCTTCCTCTGTCAGTGGGAACCATCAGTCTGGAGTAGTATTTGATCCTACTTGAAACTGCAAGGCTTTTTCTGGGCCATATATGCTGAGTAACATGTAGAAAGACCAAGGAGCTGACTCTGGTATAGGGAAGGAGGGGGCTGTAGCTGTGGGAGTGCAGCTGTGAGAAGTATGGCAGAAAGAGAGTGAGTGTGAACACATGGCCACAGGACCCTAGAATTGGGGTCATAAGGATGAAGGATATTGCCACATTTCTTTGCATCTTGGAGGGATGATCCAGGAGTTTTTGGTGGTATTGCCTGGTAATACAAGAGTCAGATTGTGCACACCCTCCCTACAGCCAGCTTCTCCCTAATCTATGTTTGTGACACCGACTACACTGACAAGAGGCAGCATGACTGCCATGCCACGTCCAGTTCAGATGTCTATCTGTCCGTCTGCCTGTTGTTATGGGAAGACACAGTATCAGTAGGAGTGTGTGGAGTAGGTGACTCCAAGGACACACCCAGGCCTGGTATCTCCTCTGAGGTGTGGAGTAGACTGAGCTGAGGGTAGATGTGGAGGGTGGGGTTATAATGAATTTGGACTCCTAGGAGAGATGTTGATCATAGAATGAACTGTCCACATTACAACAGGATATGAACTTCGAGGATGTGGCCGTGTACTTCTCCCGAGAGGAGTGGGGACTCCTTGATGAACCTCAGAGGCGCCTGTACTGCAGTGTGATGCTGGAGAACTTGGCACTTGTGGCCTCGCTGGGTAAGACTGTCACCTTGCTCCTCGTGTCCTGAAGTGATGTCCTGCTTTTCCTTTTTTCCCCAGAATTCTCTCTTTCTTTCCCACAGCTGGACCGTGGGCTCTGCTCATTTCCATGACTTTCTTGTTATGTGTGCTGTGGGTCCCAGTGCTGAGCTGTGTATAGTGCCCGGAGCAATCGACTCCCCAAGCATCCCTCATACCTGTTACTTCAAAAAGTGCAGGGAAGGGTCTGGAAGTCAGGAGTCTTGAAGTTAACTTAATGGATCCCACCTTGTTTGCCTTCTCCCTGGCTGGGTGACTGTATCCACATCCCTGGCTTCCAGCTGTGCCCCTTTCCTCTAGCTAACAGTTCTTTGCAACTGCTTGTGCCAGGTCATGGTCATCATTCACATGAACCATGGGCCGTTCTTGTAAGACCCTCCTTTAATTGTATTTTTATTTTCTTTCCTGAATATTACCGCATGACAAGTTGCACGGGACCAGTGGGGGCCACTTGGGGCTGCTCATTGTGCGTCTTTCGTTAAGACTTATTCAGGTTCTGAGGAGTTACACAGTGGAGAGTGCAGGGAAAACACTGGTTTTACAGGGTGGACGTGGCAAAGATGGTCTCAGTGGAGGTCTGGCCCTCAAGAGTGTCAGCTGGGGGAGGGCATGACATCAGGGCTGTGTTCAGATCATCCTGGCAACTTGCCATGTGTTCAGTAGCGTTTTGGTGCAGGTACCACCAGCCACGTGTTGTTTCTACCTTTTCTTCTGCATACTTAACACTTTGCTGACTTGTCATTTCACCTGAGACTTGCAGCTCCTTACACCCTTGTAGCCTTCCTGGGCTACCGGTTCCTCTGCACTCCTCCCTTTATGATGTTCTCCAACAGTGACCTGCACGTGGTGTCAGGAGGTGTACACATGTCCTTACGTCATCCTTGAACCTGCTCTTCAGGTCCAGTTGAGTTTTATCGGGACAGGCCACAGCCAGCCTCCCACACAGTGTGCCTGTGTCGCTGGCAGATAAGGTCCAACTAGAGGAGGAATGAGGAGGCAGGGGCCCCTCCTCTATGTGGTGCACCCTATGCTTGTGTCTTGTCTGTTGAGGTCTCCTCTTCTGATCTCTTCAGAGGCTTAGTACTGCTAAGCAGCCCCTACCTCAACCTGCCCCCAGCTGCCTTGTTCTCAGAGCAATCACCTGGACGCAACTTGTTGTGTCAGACACACCTTTGAAATGGGGCTTCCCCCCTTCCACCGAAGTCAATGTGCATTTCTTCAGCATTTCTGCTTTCATGTTGTAGGCATGGGATGAGGAGGCCCCTTCTGAGCAGGCGTCTGTAGGAGAGTCCCAGATCAGGGCTTCTCAGGCATGTCTGTCCACACGGAAGATCAGTCCTGTGAGATGTGTATCCCAGTGTTGAAAGATACTTCACACCATTGCTGAGTGCCAAACAGTATACCCTTGGCAGAAACCATACTTGGGTGCCACATGTGTGAGATGCTTCTCTTTCCATGCAGACCTTCACCAGCAACAGAGGCATGGCAGTCAGGAGAAGCCCTGGAAAAGAGATGTGGACAGGGCCTTGTGTGTGACAAGCTGCAACTTCTGTGTGTCAGGGCAGCCTTTCTCATGTAGGAAGGTTGGAGAGAGCTCCCCAGCCACCTTGAGACATCTTCAGCTCCAGACCAGTTCCAACACTGAGGAACCACATGGTGGCAACCAGAGTGGGGAGGCCTGTCACAGCGGGAAAAGTCAGTACAACGGGGGTCAGTATGGAAAAGCTAACAGCCACAACCGTGCACTTGATCAACATTGGAGTGTCTGCTCCGGAGAAGGGCTTTATGAGGGGGGCAAGTGTGGGAAAGCCTTCAGCTGCAACTACAGACTTGTGCAGCACCAGCGAATTCACACTGAACGAAGGCCATATGAGTGTGGTGAATGTGGGAAATTCTTTAGCCAGATCTCTGGCCTTATTAAAGACTGGAGAATTCACAGTGATAAAGAGCCTTACGGATGCAGAGAATGTGGACAATTTCTTAACCATAACTTCAGTTTCATAAAACACTGGAGAATTCACACTAGAGAAAGAACTTATGAATGCAACGAATGTGGAAAAGTCTTTATCCAGAGATCTAAAGTCATTCACCACCAGAGACTACACACTAGAGGAATGCATTATGGCTGTGGTGAATGTGGGAAATCTTTTAGCTACAAATCCAACCTTATCGAACACCATAGAGTTCACACTAGAGAAAGACCTTATGAGTGTACTGAATGTGGGAAATACTTTAGACAAAGCTCTAGCCTTTTCCGACACCAGAGAGTTCACACTGGAGAAAGGCCATATAATTGCAGCGAACGTGGGAAATCCTTTGGACAGATCTTTGACCTCATTCGACATGGGAGAGTTCACAGTGGAGAAATGCCTTATGAGTGCAGTGAATGTGGGAAGTCCTTTAGACATTTCTCTAACCTCATTCAACACCGGAGTGTTCATACTGGAAAAAGGCCTTTTGGGTGCAGTGTTTGTGGGAAATCCTTTAGCCGCAAATTTATCCTTATTCAACATCAGAGAGTTCACACTGGAGAAAGACCTTATGAGTGCAATGAATGTAGAAAATCCTTTACCCGAAAATCTGACCTCATTCAACACCAGTGGATTCATACTGGCACAAGACCTTATGAGTGCAGTGAATGTGAGAAATCTTTTAGGCAACGGTCTGTCCTCATTCAACACCAGAGAGTTCATTCTGGAGAAAAGCCATATGAGTGTGGGGAATGTGGGAAATCCTTTAGCCAAAATGCTAGCCTTATTCAACACCAGAGAGTTCACACTGGAGAAAGACCTTATGAATGCAGCGAATGTGGGAAATCTTTTAGCCGCAAATCTAACCTCCTCAGACACAGGAGAGTTCACACTGGAGAAAACCCTTGAATGTGAGGTACATTAGAATTCTTTGTATTATTGCCAAGTAGCATTCTCTTCTATGGATAATGGCTTTATCCGTGCATCTGTTCTGGACATACAGGTTATTTCCAGGTTTGGGGTGTTTACAAATAAAGCTCCTGTGAATATTTACATTCATTTCTTTATGTGGCTATGTTTTATTTCTCTTGTTGTAATAACTGAAACTGCCAGAGTGGAGGTGAGTGTTTCACATTCTAAGAAGTGGGAAACTGATCTATAATGGTTATGCTCTTTGGCCTTCCCACCAGTAGCACATGTCAATTCAAGTTCCGTGACATCCTTGAAACAAGTATGTAGTGGTAAATCACTTTGGTTTTAAAGATTTTTTTTTTTTTTTAAAGATTTTATTTATTTGACAGACAGAGATCACAAGTAGGCAGAGAGGCAGGCAGAGAGAGAGGAGGAAGCAGGCTCTCCGCTGAGCAGAGAGCCCGATGTGGGGCTCGATCCCAGGACCCTGGGATCATGACCTGAGTCGAAGGCAGAGGCTTTAACCCACTGAGCCACCCAGGCGCCCCATCACTTTGGTTTTAATTCCATATCCCAAAGTGTTCGTGATGTTGAGCATTTGTCATTTATTTGTTCTCTGTTTATCTTTGATACAATGTGTGCTTATAATCTTTTGCCTGTTTTCTTTTTATGTACTTCTGTATTTCTTACATGGAACAATTGTTTTTGAGTACTAGAAAATTTTTCTCCCTCAGCTTTTTGTCCTCACAACTGAAGGCCCACATGCTCCAGACTTATGAATATGTTAATCTGCATCAGAATATTCTCCTCTGCTTTCTTAACTTAGTAACGCATTAAATCAGACCTAGGTTTTAATCTTTGGCAACCCCTGGTTGGTAAATGTCAGATTGCCAAGGTGATGTCACTGAACACGGAGTTGGTAAAATACTCCAGTAGCAACTCATTGTGTTTCTGTTCCCAAAGTACTGAGAGCGTGACCATAGATAACTTTAAGAACATAGGTAATAAAACTGTAAAATGACCAGTAAGTGGCAAGTTTTAAATATTTGTGGGTGTTTCTGTTTTTGTTTTTTTATTTTTGTTTTTTAAAGATTTATTTCAGAGAGAGTGTGTGCATGAGTGGGGGGAGGGAGAGGGGAAAAGGGAGAGAGGAGGGAAAGAACACTCCCTGCTAAGTATGGAGCCCAATGGGCTCAATCCCAAGACCCTGAGATCACAACCTGAGCTGAAACCAAGAACTGGACGCTTAACTGACTGAGCCACCTAGGCGCCCCTAAATATTTGTTTTGTAAAAAGAGTTTAAGTATGCTTGACTTAAACCACACATACTTTATTTTATTTTACTTTTTTTTTTTTTAAGATTTTTTCTTTCTTTGACAGAGATCACAAGTAGGCAGAGAGAGGGGGGAAGCAGGCTCCCCATGTGCAGAGAGCCTGATGTGGGGTCAATTCCAAGACCCTGAGATCATGACCTGAGCTGAAGGTAGAGGCTCAACCCACTGAGCCACCCAGGCACCCCTTTATTTTATTTTTTTAAGATTTTATTTCTTTATTTGACAGAGACAGAGAGAGCACAAGCAGGCAGAGCTGCAGGCAGAGGGTCAGGGAGAAGCAGGCTCCCCACTGAGCAGGGAGCCTGATGTGGGCTCAATCCCAGGACCCTGGGATCATGAACTGAGCTGAAGGCAGCCGTTTAACCCACTGGAGCCACCCAGGAGCCCCAAACTGCACATTTTAAATACACATTTTGATGTTTTCATATATGTTTGCATTCCTGAAGCTAAGTTCCTCCTCCCCTTTTCAATTCATCTTTTTCAACGTATAAAATTATTGATACAAGGAGATATTCTAACTTTTGTAATGGCTATTTACATATATATCTGTGAATAAGACTGCTAAGAAGTCTCATCAACCCTATCACACATAGCCTTCCATCATCATTTTTGTGGTGGTTCTTGTATCCCCATGCATACTGGCGGGTTATTTTACATGTAAACGTAGATATTTCACTGCATAACCTCTTAAGAATTTCAAAAATATCAGGACTTTCATAACTCTGATAACTTGAATACATACCAAAAAATTTAAATATAAATGTTATGCTAAATTTTATTGATTGAATTAGCTACTGAAGGCAGACTGAATGCAATCATACCAATCGTCTGGCTTTTAATACATGTGTCTTTTGAGTATTCACCTTACCTCTTTTATTTTGTTCACTGAAAAATTAATTAAGGTGTTAATAATTTTATATAGCTCAATATTTCTTCCGTAATTTCAAATCCCGAGTTGCCCTTGAATAGTGCAGATGTCTGTCTACAGTACAAACTTATGTATCAACTGTACCTCCTGGTATTTAACACAGTTAGACTTCTCTGCTTCCGTTTGTCAAATAAAACATGAATGTTTCAAAGTTACTACTTTATTTTTTTGAGATTTTTAAATTTATTTATTTGGCAGAGAGAGCGAGAGATCACAAGTAGAGCAGCAGGCAGAGAAAGAGGGGAAAGCAGGCTCCCCGCTGAGCAGGGAGCCCCATGGGGGACTCTATCCCAGGACCCTGAGATCATGACCTGAAATGAAGGCAGAAGCATTAACCCACTGAGCCACCCAGGTGCCCCTTAAAGTTACTTCTTCAGAAGTTTACAAATCCCAATTTCTCCGCATTTTAAATTTTTTTTTAACTTTCTTAATACAAAGCTGCAGTCCCCAAATTAAAAGTCTTAATCTTCCCTTGTCAGTGTATACATATATGAAATCATCACTTTAACTGTATTACAGTTTCATTTGCCAGTTATACTTCGATACAGGTAACGGAAAAATAAAAGATTGAAATCATGCAAAAACCTTAATCTGAACACTGAGAAACAGCAATTAAAGAGGATCTTCCCTTTCATCTCAGAGCAAGAATACAGACTATGTTTATTAACTTATTTTCCTCTGAAGACAACAGATTTCGTGTTTGGAGAAATAAAAGGTTATTTGTTATGAGTTCCTTTGGAAGACTGATCAGTAAGTGCCTTATTAAGGCTCAGATACTGCTACCAGGGACCATCTGGCACACATTAATCATACCAGTTCTTTTAACTATAGTCCAGCTTTAATTTGCAGGATAGCCATTGTTTTTTCATAATTATTTTCAGGACCATCAGAGAAAGTAGACAGTCCATCTTGATGGATTGAAATATTGCCAGTGTTCTAATAAAGCCTTCTGGATTTCCTGCTAACTCAGCTTCACCAGTCAGTACAATTTACTAAAGTTATACCAGTTGCTTCTGGAATCCCACTCACAAAAATGTAGAATTTCATTACATTCAAAGAAACATGTATCCTGGAATCCAGAAGGTGTGATGATAACTAGCCTTTTTCCATGGTCTCCACTGTGTCATACAGGAGCTACAGCCTTCACCAAGCCACAGGTGGAGAGCACCTGAAGCCCACTGCAGTAAACTCGTAGCCACTGTGGCTACTGTGGGCAATAAGGAAGCCACTTCTTTATTATTTATTGGATAAAGTTATAAGCATTTTGTCCATTAAAATTTGCCACATCCTCTATTTGGCTGACTGAATCTCTTGATTCCATTTAATATGCTCACCTTCTAAAAATCTTCCCTGAAAAAAAAAAAAAAAGTCTTCCCTGCATGCCTTGTAGCTTTGGCAGAATTATTTTAAAAAGCTAAATTTGGGTGGGCCTGGGTGGCTCAGTCGTTAAGCATCTGCCTTCAGCTCAGGTCATGATCCTAGGGCCCTGAGATCGAGCCCCAAGCTGGGCTCCTTGCTCAACAGGGAGCCTGCTTCTCCCTCTCCTGCTTCTCCCTCCCCCACTCCCTCTGCCTGTGTTTCCTCCCTCTCTAATAAATAAAATCTTTAAAAAAATAAAAAGCTAAATTTGTGCACTATCCAATACAGTCTATAAACCTATACCTATACAAATTATTACACAATTTAAGTTACTATAAATTCTGGAAGGTCAACTAGGTGTATGTGATAAAGTACAAGAAGAACTAGTCTGAGGATGAAGAAAACATTTGCTAAGTGTAGAGTGTCAGGAAGAATATTGCAAAGAGGATAGTGCCTGAGAAGAGGTGGTGTTTATGTGATGATCTAGAAGTCAGGCGATGA